AACACACACAACACACATAAGTCAAACACACACAGAACAATAATCAAACACACACAGACCACACCATAATCAAACACACACAGACACCACATAATCAAAACACACAACAGACACAATAATCAAACACAACAGACACACATAATCAAACCACATAGACACACATAATCAAACACACATAGACACACATAATCAAACCACAACACAACACACATAATCAAACACCACACAGACTTGCGCCGTACGTTTCACTCTCATAGCGCAGAATCCTAGGAATTACGAGTAGCGCATTATGGTGGATAACAGAATTACTTCACTATTAAAAAATACCCTTCGAGCATATTCCTGTAACAGCAAGTCTAAAAAATACTCCCCTAAAAACTGCATTATGTGCGTACCAAAATATCCCTATAATTCGCTATTAAAAAAAAAACCCTGCTGTTTGTCCCCGCCCCCGCGCAACGCACGCAGCCAGCGCAGCCGCCCTAAGGCCCGCGGCGCAGGGCGGCCTCGCCGACAGCGCCTGGTTACGCGGCTTTGTTTGCCTCCCTAAGCGATAATTGCGAGGATAAGGCGATAACCCCGGCCGGGTTGCGCCGGCAACTCGCGGCGGCGCCTCCCTCCCTCCTCCACCACTCCCCTCCACCCCGCCGAGAGGGGGCGGGGAGAGGGGAGGCGAACGAGGAGAGCAGCGGACGGCGGACGCACCGCATTCGGGACCCGACGGGCGCAAGAAATCCGGATGACTGCTGCACAGGTTAATGGGAAACTGCGGAGCAAACGAGAGTCGGAAGCTAAAAAATTTTGACAGGCGCGTGCGAGCGCCGTTCCGAATACCAGGCAAACAAGGAGGGCAGGGGGCAACACGACTTCCGAGTAACATAGATTTTTTGTAATAGAAGTAAGCACCGTATTACTGTATACATTTCAAGAATTTTGTGCGTTTACCGTTCAAAAGATCGTCGGTTTTGAAGTATGCAAGAACATGATATTCAGCAGAAAGTCAGAGTTATCACGTAGTGTATCACCGAACAGTCGAATTTGCGGTTCTTTCCGTAAAGGACACAGATCGTTCACGTCCTTTTTTTTCAAAAAGTAGTCCACAAGTTTAACTTTACGTTTTGCACCGATGCACAACAGTCCCTAACATCGACCAAACCCCGCTAAACAGATTTAACATGATTAAGGGCGCCCTGTTTGAAAAGCGGCCTCCACAACACGCGGCATTCGGCGAATGCCGGAGCAAACCACTCGTCCGAATCCGAAGTAGTGTGACGGGTTCGCGTGCCGATTCGCCGAGCCCCAACTTCCGGCATTCGCCCCTTACCCACCGCGTGTCGGTTTTAGGGGGCCATCCAATAGTGAAGCGGAACATCGCGAATACATCAGCGTTCTGATTGGGCGAGCAGAGAGCCATTCTGCCTCGGCGAATACCGAATGTGTGAAGCCGCCTTTCGAGAATTCCAGAATTTTAAACGAGGGGTTAAGCATGGCGGACGTCTAGAACTTTCTTGTCAGCATCTGTAAGCGTAAATTCAGAAATATCACTTAGGGCTCACCAAAACAAAAGAGCAGGGAAACTACGCCTGCGGGTTTCCGTCGTTGCGTCCCTCCCCCCTCGTGGTATGCGACGGCTTCACGAATGGTGAGCTGGCTCGCCCGGAACGAGAGGGTAGACGAGGAAAATTCCGAGCAATGGGTGCCGGCTGCTGAGGATAGCTGCTAAGAGGGGAGCGCGAACGAGACGCGGAGTGGTTGGGCTGGGAATGCGTATGCGACCCCGCTTCCCAGAGCATTGCAAATGTTGGCAAATACGCAGCGAGCTGCGCGAGTCAAGGATTACATTACGAGTTCAAAATGAGATAACGCCCAGCGAGGAAACAGTGAAGAGGCAAACTACCGATGGAGATTATCTGGTCGTGGGTGCAGGAGAATCCTGCATCAATCAAGATGTAAAACATGGTTTACAATCGTAAGCTACAGAACAAAGAAAGTTTTTTCTCGAAATACTGTACTGATATATCGACACATCGCAAAAACAAAAGGCAGGAGTGAAATTATCTACATTTAGATACCAGGGCCAGACAATAAGAGTTTTTCTGTCGGAGAAATTGCTTATTTGCCACAACAATACAATATATTTTTTTAATTATGCCAGTATTTATTTTTAGCATGAACTACCAAGGTCATTAGCAACCGAACAATATTTTCTCAAAGGCCGCCTTAACGCCCGTCGTTCCGTTAAGAACCATAGAAACAGAGGTTAATGGTATGTAGCAAAACCGCGCCCACGAGATACGTTCGAGTATTCAATTGATTGATCAATTATGATTTGGGCGCGTCAACACTAATAATGTAGTGCGTCCTTTTTTGACCGGAGGTGGTGGTGATCTCCGTCCGCTAGATGGTGAATCCGGCGCTGACCTATTCGTCGCAAGCTGGGGTTATCCCTAATGAGATACCTCACCAGCGGACACAGCCCCAGCCGGGACAAGCTCTAAGCTCCCGCACCGGTCTAACGGGTTGCTGTGGCAGGTAGTGTTAAGCGTGTGAGATAGACAAGGAAGAGGAAGGAAGGTCCGCGCGTCCGTTGGCGCGTTTTTAGGTACGGCTTCAGTCTGGTGTGTCGGAGAAACACAGATCTGTACAAAGTGTCATTAAATGAATGTCGGAACTTCTAGGTCGCAGAGCGTTCTAAAACGGAATACCTTTTCTAATGCAAAATATAGAGGGAAAGTTATATTTACGGTGTTACACCATGTTATATTTCCGCCACATATCAGGCAACCCCCATAGACAGAGTGTTGGAACGTACATGAACTCTCTCCTGCGTAGAACGTGACATTGCCGAAACGTATGTACATAATCATTGGCAAAAAAAGCAGGGCAAATATAAAATGCATAACTCCCAATATATTTCCTCCATATTTACATTGGCCACAAGTTATTAAATTTCAACCCTCGTCCATTTCAAAAAGTTCGTAAACATTCAGAGGACATTACTGCTTAGAAAAGTGAGAATTGTTCGAAAGCATTAAAAGATATGAAGCACCACCACACTGCTTGAAGTTTCCCTCTCAGAGTCATTGAGTGTGGTGCGAAAAGAATTTTTACTTATAAAATCTATACGTTGTGTTTTAATGTATTTATTGTATTGAAGTAGTATTGTTCTGTTTCAACTTAAACAGAACAATAAACTACATAACTGAGTTTCTTTTAACAGTACACGTGGTAAAAGAAGAAGATCAGAGTAAATAAAAGAGAAAATGTTAGGTAATATTAACTTATACAAACGTAAACAAAATATATATTATATTTACACACATGTTAGCAATTCATTAACTTGTCTACAGCACTGAGATCAACAATAGCAAAAGG